ATGCCGGAAAATAGCCAGCGATGATGAGGCAGACCAAAAAAGAAATGGCGGGGTTACTTGTCCAAATATATAAGATTTTAGATAAAAAAACTAGTTGCATTTCCAACATTTTGGATGACAATACAACATCATCAAAGTAATTTAATAAAGTTAGGGGGCGGATAAAGTGAAATCTCTTACATGGAAAAAAGTTACAATTATTTTGTGCTCCACTAATATAATAACAAATTTTTGGAAATTTTTACGTATATTGACTGATATATATATATATATATATATATTGATATATACCTGACATTACGTCAAACCGGGAACTACGAAAGTCGAAAGGAAAGGCCTAGCAATGGGACAGAATAGGTTAATATTTTTTTTACAAATTGTATCTACAGATACTGCTGAACAAACGAATAGTGTCTACTATGCTAAAAGTAATCTAGGATGGTACATGTGATAGTTCATAAAATTCTACAAAATTAAACTTGTAGTAACATGCACTAATTTACGTATTTCATTAATAATTTTAATGACTCGCTTTTAAATGATTTTGAATAAATACATTACACTAAATTAAAAATAACACCAAGTCAATGTTTAAGTATTTGTGAGAATTGAGCGGAATTTTTTTTTTCAAAAATTCATTAATTTTTTACGACAACGTGCAAAAATTACTTCATTATACTGCATTTCGTTGCCTTACTTCTCAAACTCGTATCTTACAAAGAGTGATTATTCAGGAGATGGCAAAACTTTCTATTTATTTTAAATTTCTTATCAAGAGTGCTAATTTGGATGCATTACTTTAAGAATAGGTAAAAGCCAGTGTGTGAATATGAAGGAAATGTGATGTGAATCAGCCTGCGAAATTTGTATATAAAATCCATTTTTTGCACTTCAGGAACTTTTGCTTTTAAATGCGAGTTTGAGAAAATAAGGCGACGATTTCCTAGAGATGAGGTAATATCGATAAAAAGTTTTCGATAATTTAATGGAAAAATGTATATTGCGTGTATTCGTTCTTAAAGTATGAATTTGTATCATAGGCAATGAATTGATGTCAGTGTTATTACTTTTTTGAAACGTATAAATTAATGGTATGATAAATGTTTATTTAAATATTTAATAATTATAGTTGTGTGTTTTATGCCTTCCATATAGCACAAACCAGTCATCACTTCTATACTTCCTTCAGAATACGTCAGAAAAATAAAACTATAAGAGAGAAACTTTGCTTCAAAAATGAATTACGCTAAAAATGGATCCACTTTACCTCATCTCTCTGACAAAAGCCAAATGAAGTGCCCCAGGGACCATCTTGGTTTGTGTTTAGTATAATTGAACGATAACTTCACAATTAATTATAAACCTATAAAAGTAACTTTCTCACAGAGTGTACACACTTGTACAAATAATACTTACAAAGCAGCTGACTAAACAAGATTCGTGTTATCAGTTTGCATTTCCACATAACTGCTATTTTATACCACTTACTATTAAATCTCTCTTATTTCTGACGCATGGTTTATTGGTTGCGATGCACTAAAATTATTCAACTGTGCCTGTTAAGCGCCCAGTTACACGACACGAAAGTTTTCGCGCGGAATTACTCGGAATAATACAAACGCGCGGTCGCCGCGTTGCCGCCGCGTAGACCGAAGACAAGCCAGCCTCACTAGCGCGCCCGTGACGCTCATTTAAGTTATAACGTAAAGGGTAAATAAATAGAGCGTATTTTGCCATGACAGTTAAACGCACGCGGTCGCGCGGCATGAGCGCGGAAATTCGTGTCGAATAATCGCGCCCATAGAGTTTTCTAATCTCGTTAAGTTACAGTCATAAAAATACTCAACTGTAAAAATTTATTTATTTTGTCTACATTCTATAAATATTTCATAATATAATTTTTATTTACAAAAAAGGAACCGACTTCAAACTTTGTATATAATATATACATACAAACTGAAACTAAAAAGGTAACAATCGGTTACTAGAAAGTGTGCGAAACCGGATTCATCCCCTAATAGAATCACCGAAATCGGTTCACAAATAACAAATAGCCGGAGTAATCACGTAACATACATAAGAAAAATACAATCGAAATCAGAACCTTCTCCTTTTTTTGAAGTCGGTTAAAAAAGATTTCTTAGTACCGAAAATAGTTCGTTATTGTGAAGTAAATTACTTTGTAATAAATACGATGTTAAATTAATTGTGTAAAAGGAGGCTTCTAAATGTATGATAATCGAGTTGAACGGAAAGAAAATTGTCAAGAAAAAATATTCTTATCCGCTGAGAATATTCATGCATGTTTATAATGTATTGTTTGTATATTATACCTATCTCTCGGTAAAATGGAGAGAGACTACGTACCTCACCTCACTTGCTAGATTTCTGACATACCTATTTCTGTGTGCTAGTTTTTATTCAAACATATTTAATTTTATACTGCGTATCAGTTTGTAATAGTCGGAGGCTGGCAAGTCTGTGATGTTCCTTTTATGATATTTCTATTGGGGTAAAAAGTACTACTTAAAATTTAAATTCAGCTCTATAGAATTCGTAATAAGATCGCTTGTCTAAATAAAAAACGTTTGAAACAGACTTGGAGTTGTAAAGTTTTTCTTTCAAACAGATGATTACTTAATGTAAAAATTTTAATGAACAAATTCCAACTATACAAATTGTGACCTCGACGTGCAAGTTTTGAGTTAGGGCAATGCCCTAACATTCGGAATTTTTATTACTTAATATGGCTTCAAAATACACACAAATTATACAACGGATGAAGCTTATAGTTATATAATTATGCGTATCGAAATATTAACAACCAGTTCTTCGCACTTGGCCTGGCTACGTATTTTCAAAACTACTGTGTAACGCTACATTTTAACTTGACGTTGTGAAAAGAAAATGTAAATATTACTGTATACTCTAGAGAAGTTTGTTTACTGTCTATATGTGAAGTGCAGATATTTCGTATTTCTAAAGGTCGTAAGTAATAAAATATTGTTCGATTGAAACCCTGACATTTGTTGGTTTTTATTTGAGAGGTCACCAGCTACTTTAAAAAACTTGTCACGTTTTGCGAATAAAATTAATATAAATTTTCAAATCCAACAATTAACCGTTATGGACAATGACTTTATCGTTCAATTCCTCTACAATGCAAAAGCGATTTGTAGACAATTCATTTCTAAATGGAGACAGAAAACATCAATCTCAGAATGTAACTGTAACATTAAATCGCTGGGCGTCGAGAAGGCGAGACGAGACCACTCCAACGGAGATGAAGCCCTAATAATAGAGGTCGGTGCAATATCTATCGCTAACAGTTCTTTGATTGAACATCAACCGTCGTTCGACGGCTAATTATCAGCGATACGCCATACTTCCAATACCTCCAGCTTTTACTCATTCAATTTAAATTCCACCTATTTGGAACGCGTCTGAGATATAAGCGTTGTCCATATCTCGTGAGTTGAATTTGCTTCCCCGTTGCAATTAGTTTCTGGTTTTCAATCGCATCGCTTACACAGTGCTAGTTCTTCGGTGCAACAGGTCGTAAAACTGAAATCCGTAATACTGTTCATTGCAAAACGTTTTTGCATTACTCATAGGGAATACAAACCTTCGTAGACGGATCGGATTCTAAAGCTGTCTCTGACGCAAGTATTTTGTAACTTATACTAAAACGGTGAATGCACTTGTGAATGTCGTTGCGCCGCCGCGGCCGCCCGACATCCTACTTTATTAACTACACAATCACGAATTCCGGCCACGATTCGCCACTTCGTCAAAGATAAAGTGGTACAAAAGTTATGGTCGGACCATCTGGAATTCTTTACTACTTGAACTGAAATAATAGCTATCGAACAGTTAGGTTCAAATGCTGGTGTTCGATAAGCAAAATGCTAGTTTGAAAGAAACTTTTATTATCCAAATTTTACAATTTTTTTTTATAAAATATTAAATAATGATACATGGATACCTACCAGAAAGACTATTTATTTACTTATTCATCCATTTCATTGATTTGCATTAATTTACGTTGAGGGACAAGAGCAAACATGTGCACGGGGTATATTTCATCAGGGAAACCCGATTGTATATCAGATGCAATAACTTTAAAGCTAGCTGCATCTATTATTTTATGCATAAGTTCTAAAGGTCGAGTAACAGATGAATCGTCTTCGTCGTATTCCAGTTCTTGAGTCGAAGTTATGTTTTCTTTTACGACCATTACTCCATCTGGCGCTAATGATGAGGAGCATCGTTGAAGAAAGAACAAAGTATCATAGTCGTTGAGGTAACCAAGCACCCATTGACACCAAATCAAGTCGTACTTTTTTTGTGGTTTGAAGTTCTGAAGCGATACATTGTAAAGTGCTCCCAACTTGTCCTTATTTAGACTGCCGAGGGTATCTCTCGCATAGCTGATGAACTTTTCATCTTGCTCGACTAAATCGATTTTATCAAAATAATTGGTTAGCAGACTCTTGCTGATCCGCCCAATTCCAGCTCCGCAATCCAATACAAGTCCTTTCCCTGGGGGATTCGCAGATGAGAATATTCTATTCAGAAACGCTCTAGAACCCTCGATATCCGTATCGGAAATGTGACCATAGCCGCCTAGAACTCCATCAATTGTAGGGGGAATATTGGCCCAGTAGTTTCTTGCATCTTTATAAAATTTACTCTCTGGTTTGGAAATCCAGTCAGCCATTGTTAGGGCCTAATAGCATTTCTTATGTGTTTGTGATTATTGTTGAAAATGTTCTTTTTGAATGTTCGACTTTATTTTGAAAGTTGGGAATATTGTGACATTGTAGTGACATTGGATAGTTTTTTGTTAACCAAAGATAATATTCATTTATAAAAACTGTAGGCCATTGATATAAATACATCAAAGTCTTCCGACCAAAGAGAAATGATACGAATTTTTCAACGTCAAAGTTTTTATCAACTTTATCAGAATTTTATAGTGGCAATTTTTCTTGTTGCAGGCGTTGATCGCAGCTGTGAACGAAACCGCAGAGGAGGACATTCGAGATGCGCTAAAGGCTCAGACGGATCATCACCTGGCTTTAGTGCCGAGAGGACCTAAAGTTGTCAGGGACACAGTAGCGTACAACACTACTGTCAACACCGATGATACGGTAATGAATGAAATGTTGATCCTCGTTTATTTATAGTTCAACGAACAAATAAAAATACAAATACTTTTGAGATGGAAATTGTCAGATGTCAGATAGCATAGCACTCTTAAAATTTTTATTCTTTTGTGTTTAAGACCTCAGACTGTTGTATAAATATTTAAATATGTTTATAGGAAGAGCTTCGAGCCTTGCGTCCGGATGGAACGCTCGTAACGGAGACCCGACATACCAAGGAGCAAGAGCGAGTTTGTGACGAGGAGCTTTCTAAGGAAGAGGTGAGAGTTGTATTATCCTTGTATTCACTATGTTTTTCTTCTTAGGGAACAAATGGTATGAAAACTCTATAAATTTCCTATCTTTCCTGCCCCATATTCAACACTAGATTGTCAAATTAGAACCTGCGGCCAAAGACACAACTTCAAAATAATTTAGTGTAGTCCTTGCATTATTTACTTTGATACAAATGATTTCCTCGTTCCGTGTGTTGTCTGATGTGCATAGCATTCTAAGTTATTAATTTTTGATGGTGTTTATAAAGTATTAAATTTTACTGTCGTCCAGGCCCGGTCGCTGGCGAGCGATCATAGCATAGTGCGGGAGACGGGTGGCACTGAGCGGCGCAAGCGCGTGGATCTCGAGCGCAGCACTGACCTCATGGCGGGCGGCCTTCGCGTCGCTACACACGTGCACTCTAAGTCTAGAACAGAAGAAGGTAACAAAAAGAATGCTTAGAAACATATTGTGTTTTATAGCATTAACTTGCTTTTGGTTGGAGATTAGCATACAAAGTAGGGTTTGCTGTAATCGTTAAGCCTTCTAAGCGTGTTGCCTATCTTTATATCCCATAGACCCTATAGACTCTGCCGCTGATAGAATTGTTTTTATACAAATTGTAAAAGAGTTATACATCTAATGCTACTGAAAAACTAAATGTAAATTCTTAGTCCATAAACAACGTGACCGACAATGATTCATATCAGTCAAATTAATTGTCTCTTGCGGAGCTACGTCGTGTTAAAGGGGCATGTGTGTCATTCCGTGTACATAACATAAGTTTGTAGCCAATAGTTGTTCTAAGTTAGGAAATATCTACAATCCTAAATCAGCATAAATTATTATTTTCTCGCAGTGGAGAGAGAAGGTCAGCCGAAAATGGACGACAATTGGGACAGCTTATCAGTGAGAATGCGACGGCAGCGCCGCCTACGGCTTAACGGTAAGACCTAGAACTATCGCAAACATACGTAGCGCTATTCAAAACTAGATGGCGCTGTCATAATAACTTAGTTCTTCTACTTGACGCTAGCTGTCATATACGTTGACACAGCATGAATTCTAACCCTGCTTTTAGTTCGCCCGTATGTTTCTAGATGGCACTAAATAATATTATGTAAGACGAGCCAGACCAAATAATAGAAAAGAGTTCTGCCGCCGTTACTTGAAAGGGCGCTTGTGACCAAAACTCAAAAGCGAGGAAATAATGTTTAAAGAAATGAAATTAAAAAATATCTCCTTTTATCTTACGGTAACTTCATACCTTATCTAATCTACCTATTGTAAGAAAAAATAAAAATAGTGACAGATCGTTCCTTCTTTTGCTGATCTCGTAATAAGTTACAATTAAAAAAAAGTCACTTGCGGCCTTGTAACTAACGGCGGCAGAGTTATGCAGAATGAAATTATTTACACCGTTCGCTGTTGCGCTATTCTTTATTGTATATTTTTTAATTCATTGTTTAAATATAAATTTCAATTAGGCAAGAACGAGCATTACCTAATTAAATAAAATTTTATGTACAGTTAATTGTAGATAGTTAATTGGGAAGTATTATTATGTGTTGAAACTTGACTAAAATATATTATTACCCAAATTGGCTCCATGTGTGGACATCAATGGGGCCTTTATTGTTTTTGCTTTTTATTAAATCCAGTATCCAGGTAAAATCGTACCCGTTTAAATCTGCTAGAATGAATCCGTTCTAATAACGCCGAAATTGAGAATCAGTATCGTCCGATCGTTATGTTAATGGATAACCATTTTAGTGTCAACTTGCCGGCCTTGGTGTGTGTATTCCGCGTTGGCGGATAAGGCCAAGTTGAGTACTTGGGACCAAAGGAAATATTGCAAAAATTAAAGATAAAACGTTGCTATAATAGTAAAATAATAATGTACAGTTCGGACAACTTACTGACTATTTAAAGACGCCTGTGGTGCGCCTTATATCGTTTTTAGTGTGTAAAGTGTGGACAGCATACATACGCATTTCTGTGTGATATTTTTGTTAAATTGTCGTAAAGAACAATTAATACATTTTCAAGAAACAATGACAAGAAAAAATATTGTGAGAAGTGAGACCTGAGACGTGAGGTCTGAATGTAGGTACGTAACTTATTTTATCTGTGCGAGATTGTTTAATTTATAAATTATAAAACCTACTTGAGAATTTTAATGTCCGAGTTACGCGTTGGTAATAAATCTCATGCTTTAAAGTACTAACTAATTAATATAGATAAACACGCAATTATCCAACTTAACGTTCAAAGTCACGAGTCAAAGTAATTTATGCGGAATACCTAAGCTTTGCGAATTAATTTACAAGCTGCCTTAAATGCGCCGGCGCCGTGGGCAGATACAGGCACTGATATGTTCCTGAAGTTAATTAACGGTTCGTTTTATATGAGACAATCTATTAGGATTATAATGGCTGTATAATCGTTTGTATTTGGGAAAAATTATAAATTTACGTTCTTATTTAACTTGGCGCGTCAACGCAAACGGGATCTTGAGCCTCAGCAAGCTGAAGAAGTTTTTGCGCTGTGTTCTCAGCTACTTGCGACTGAAAAAAAATTGTATCTTTTTTATAAAAAAATCGACCTGAAAGGTTTGTTTGTTAGCCAAGTTTGATTGAAATCGGTTTACGGAAAGTGGGTGAATCCCCTAATTTCCCACCCTTCGAGATGGAATATTTTCTTCAAATTTGAATAGGACTGCTACTGTTAGGTACCCTCTTTGCACAAATGCCGGAATAATTACGTAACATACACAAAATATAAGAAATATAATAGAATATAATGATTTATAGAGTTCTTAGGTTTTCGCGATTGTTACACATAGTAAATACACGTAAAACTATTTTTCCGGATTTAAATCGATGGTTTGTGTGAAAAAACAAACATACTCGATTTAATTCCGGCACTCGATGTTGTTGGCAGAGGCAGGGCAACCTGTTGACAACAACGTCTAGGATGCTATTAGCGCTGCCGTGCACACGGATCATGAGTGAGGCAGCCCTCTTGCGAATAATGTAAAAAAAACAAACGAATATGCACTACATTGCTTTGATGCACTTTGATTGAAACTCTGCAGTGTCGCGAAAACACAGTCGGGTTGAGAATGTCCTCGTATTTTTAAAGTCGGTTAAAAATAGCCCGATCGACAGGTTGTCAATCAGTTGGACAAGGTGTCCATTTGAGACACGACGACAGTTACCGCTAGAAAATCCAGTGAAGATCTCGAAAAATGTTAAAGGCGGAAATTTAAATTTAAACAGTCGGTGTTGAATTTATATTTTTTTTACATCAACAATGTTAAATGAGTGGTCTTTATGATATTGTTTATCTACTGACTTTAAATTACTTAGAGATTAACAACTTTAATATGTAAAAATTCTAACGGATTTTATATGTATTGTAACACGTAGGTAATTAAATGCGTATGCAGTGGTACATAAAAGTATGGTAAAATTAAAAACAATTTAACAACAAGAAGACTAGTAACAATACATGAAAAGTGACCATGAGATCAAAAATTTCGATCCAATATGCACTATGACTTTGATGATAACCTCCAATTACTCACGGAAATAAATCAGTTATATACAACTAAAATGGTCAAAGTACATAATCTGAGCACACTCAAAGTCGATATCCAAGTCGGCCATAGAAGAAAATACTCCTTATTTGAAATACAATAGTTGCTTCAGAAATGGGTTTCCGACTGACATGTCAAGGTATAGTCAGCAAAATATGATTAAATAAATTGTAAAATATTAAATGAACTTCAAATTAAATGAAATGATATTAAATAAAAACGTTAATTCAGTCCCTACACGTAAGTCGGTTGAAGCATCGTGTTGAAAAGGTTAGCCAGCCTAGGCACTGCGTTACCTTGCCTAGCTGTAACATGGCTGTAACCGGTGTGCGCCACGAGGAGGCTCGGTGGCCCGTGTGGAAGTCCTTAAGTCGTCTTCGCACACAGGTACGACGCTGCAGAGACTCGATGTGTAAATGGGGTTTCAGGGATACTAGTCAAACCCAATGTGTCTGCGGTTCCCCAACACAGTCCATGCAGCACTTATTGTTGTACCCCTTGTGTCCTAACACCTGTACGAGGGATGATCTCTACGCGGCCACGGACAACGCAGTCAAGGCAGCAACGTACCATTCAAGGTCAATATAGTCATCAAATTAAAGAAGTATCGACACGATAAGAAGAAGTCCCTACACGGCATCGGGTCAGAATGGTGCCTGTAGCAGACTGTAGAAATAGGCTTCGGGTGCTGTAGAGGAATGAGCAAGATCAAAAATGTACTTATAGTTTACACAATAAATTTTTTTTTTCTAAAAGAAACCGATCTCAAAAGTTACCTTATCCGCTTTCGCTGTGCTGAAACGCTTATGGAAATCCACGTCAAAACGAATCATTATGATCCCAAAAATAGGCTAGTTGCTGCACTGCCGTCCTAATTAAAAATGTACAGTGCACTGGGCAGCAGTTTCATCTGTCTGTATAACGTTTTATTTTCATTGGAATGACACCGGATTTATCCCCTTATTTAATACCCTTAGAGGTAGTATATTTTCTTTAAATTTGAATGTAACCACTTCTGAGGTACCCCTGTTTCCAACGAAAAGAGACTCATCGAAATCGGTTCACAAATGTCGCGTGACATACACACAAATACAATACAGTAGAATTAAGAACCTCTTCTTCCTCGGTTAAAAATAGAAAAAATATTAAAGCAGCCAAAATAATGACAAATCAAAGAAAATAAGTTAAAAGAAAAAAATATAAATTAACACTTAAAATAACCTCGATCGGAATAACGTCCCATTTAAGTCTTTACTAAATATAATAAAGACTTAAATGGGACCTTAATATCGATTCTATACTTGAGATGTATTCTTATACGGTCCTATACAAGACATGTTGACGTATTATCTTATATTACTTAAAGCTTTAAACTTACCATTGTTTCTTGCTCATTCTTCTCTGGGGACTCTGTATCATTATACTAAATCTACGGTCTGTATGAAAAACAATACTCTAAAATACTGTGAAAATTAAAACACAGTTTCTGCCGACTGTACATCCTATTTGTCACAATGCGCGTGAGCATCTATTAGTATCACACCGCATTCGACCTTGCTACGGTTATTCTACTGTTGCTGTTGCTACGATTATGTATAGTTTTGTAACTTGATTTATTAACTTGATGTTCGTGATATGCTAATATGCCTTTGTCTGCACGACAAAGAGTGAAACTTGAAAATCTTGGAACTTTTATTATATTATGTATTTTATTACTTTTTATTTGTTGTTATTGAAGTTTATTTATTTTAATTTTTGCATTTATACACGTGGGATGGTTTAAAATGCTTGGGTCAATTTTACTATTAAATTTTATTCATTTATTTCCATATTACCAATTGTGATTGTGTCGGTGAAATAGTTAAGCCAAAATATATAGGTTTATTTCTAAAATATTAATAACCTTTACTCTCGCAGGACTGTTTATGATGTTAGTAATAACATCATAAATAACAACTTTTGTTCCATGATGTTTTACATAACATATTAAATTTACCAAAAATACTCTTTTCAATTTTCGTTGCACCATCTGACACTTTTTAGATCTGTATAAGGTGGTAAGGTAATAGTATAGAAAGTTTAAACGTGCAGGCGTTCTCTTTATCTTTTGTCACTTTTGTTATCGCACAGATTTATCAACTTGTCACAATTTATAGCGATCTATTTAAATATATTTATTTTTGTACGAAAGTAACTATGATGAATGATTAAAAATCGTGGAACAAAAGTTGTTGTTAATTATCTTATTAATGACCTCCTCCTTAATATTTTACGAATAAACCTGTATAAATATTCGTCACTTGGAATCATAAAAGAATAAAATATATGATCAAAATCTATCCTTAACTTAGAAAATGATAGATATAACAATGTATCTACATCGTGGCACACTTTTGTAGATTACCTTAATCATATCGGTTTTTGCACTTCCAGATTATGTAGATATTTTTTGTAAGTTGAAATAGTTAAAAGATTTTCATACATTTTGGTATTTTCGATCCAGGTTAAACCCTTAAGATTAGTTTTAGCTAAACAGTGTAGGTACAAGCTACCTCACCTGCATACATGATGCGTTGTTAATTGGGACACGTGGGCTCAAGTTTGTGTATCTTGTTAGCTGTTTGCTTACCGACTGTTGACCTTACTGATCTGCTTAATTGTTGCGCAAATTTACAATAAATATTTGGGCATTAATGTGTATAAAAGATTATAGTTTTTAGGTTACCTAGTGAACTAAATTATAAGAATGAAGTCAACATTGAGAGTTAAACTACAACATTGAAAGATTTATTTACATAGTAGTTTTCCTCTTAAAATATTATAGATAGTAACTATGGATCTACGAGCTACTGACGTAATTCTTTTATTTCTAAAAACATTAAGTGCCCAGTTACAAGAGACGAAGGTATTCGCACGGCCGCCGTGTCGCGACCGTCCAGTTACCACGCCTTCATGTACATTAATGGCGAATCTGAATTCTATTTATTAGGCAACAACATTTAAATTCTTCTCTGAATAATACAACCGCGCGGTCGCCGCGCGGGCCGCCTCGGACTCCGCCTAGCGAAGGCGGTCGCCGCGCAGGCCGCCTCGGACTCCGCTTAGCGACCGCGGTCGTAACGCGGGCCGACGCGTAGACCAAATTCAAGCCAGTCACGCCCGCGTGCCCGAGATGCCCATTTAAGTTAAAACGTAAACGCTAAACAAATAGAGCGTATTTTGCCATGACAGTTATTAGGCAACGCGGACTCCGCTCTATGACCGCGCCGGGTGAGCACGATAAAATTTGTGTCGAATAAGTCAAGTCGCTTTTACTAGTATTATTTAATATGTGAGGTCCAAAGAATTATGTGTAGTGACAGTAAAGCTTGAATACAATTTCACCTAATATTAAGCGATGTAGCCGACAACACGTTTGTCTAGTAACGCACACACGTATGCATAAAAGCTGCTAAAACGTATTAGTAAGGAATAATATAGGGACTGGAATTTTACGTAATATCTAGTTATTTTTCTCACGGTTGCCTCTATAGAAATAACCAATCAGAGTAAAGCTTGATGTTCTTTAGTAGCAGTAGTGTGACAGAGTTCGTCCAAGGAAATACTGCCACCTTACCATTTGTGTCGCCAAGCAGTAATGTGAACATTATTGCGTTCCGGTTTGGAAGGGTAAGGGTGCTGGTGAAATTACAGGCACATGGGACTTAGCAACTTATATCTCAGGTTTAAGGGCGCAGTGGTAGTGTCGTTACGATCTTTGCGATTTAAATGCTCTGAGTGGCACTGCAACTGGTATGGATGGCTTGTTGTTTGCCATCCAGACACACGACTTGTTCGTCCAAACCCTTGGTATTATAAAAAAAATGAAAAATTGTTTGTTTTTATTTACTGATTTTGCTTTTAAGCAGACTTAGCCACTTTTTAATAGGTTAGAGATCTAACAAGTATCTTTTATCTATATGATTATATGTATGATTGGCTCTCATGTCACACGTTATCCTACTTTGACAGTCAGGGAACCTATCTTGTAAAGATCTAACCTTATCCTAGATTTAATGTTTTGCTGTGAACTAACGCTTGGAAATAAAATACATTAATATTATGTTACTTGTGACTATACCGTATTAGCTGCAATGATGTCACGAAATTTTCAAAAATCTCGTCAGAAATGCAACAAAACTTTCCTACAGTGGTAATTTACAATCCGTCTTGAGATGCGACTTTCTCCTACATATCCGGCGGGGTTTGGCAAAACCGGGTGCCCGTAAAAGTAACCATAAAACTGCCATTGCCTGTTATGGTAAGTCATTGGGCCTACGCTACAGTCGACTACAAAGGTCAGGTGCGCCACGGAATGTCCATCGTGGATTGTTTGAATCAATGTTTACTAAAAATTGTTAATGGTAGTTATAAAAACTGCTGCTCTTTTGCCCTTATAACAAAACGTAACCAAATTTATATGAAATCTCATAAAAGTCAATAAAAAATAACATAAATAAACGGTTAACAAGTTCTTGAGATATGCGATAATAAGTGTGTGTTACGTACAAAATATTTCATCATCAATCCATTTATGCGTCTCACAGCTGAGCACGGGTTTCCTCTTAGAGTTTAGGTCATAGTTCGTCACGCTGGTGCAATGCGGGTTCGTGACTTCACACGTTTTCCGAGGATTGTAAATCTTTTTTGATGCGGAGGTTTCATCACGATGTTTTCCCTTACCGAAAAACTCGTGGTAAATTTTAAATTAATAAATTAATACAAAATATTTGATAACATCTAAAGAACTTTTCATTGTTAATTTCACCGATTTTTTTCTATCGAGGTAAGCAGAGAACACACTCTAGTCCAGTTGCTACGATCATGACACATACATTATTATACAATACTTTAATCGATATCATTACTTTGAAGTCAACCATCAGTTTCTTACCTTTTACGGAAAAGTTTAATATTACGGAATATTAAACTTTTTATATGTTGAAACTTACTTAACGTAACTTTTACAAAGTTAACATACTTGACTGGCTTTAATAAATCACAGGTTTAAGTTTTATCTGTATTTCATGAGTTAAGATATGCCTAACCTAACCATTACAATTTTATCATTAAAAAGATAAAAGTTACTCTGACGACAAAATGTTAATTTCAAAGATAATTCAAAACTACTCGCATTAGTGTAATATTCAGTTTTAATGATCGAATCGTGTTTGCAATGACAAACCTGTCCTGTTAATTCTTACTTAATATCTCTATTAACTGTTATTAATGCTTAATACGTATTTATAGATTAACTGTTGCTTTAATTTTTTTACGAAATTTATCTGGAAATCGATTTGCTAAGATTTGGTGTTTTAGCTCCGATTTTTAATATGACCCTGAGTCATGATTATTTTCATTAAAAGTTAAGTAGCAAGTGCTCGATTAACAGCTGTTTTGATAACAGATTTGAAAATTAATGATTATTTCATAACATCGCAAACAAAAGCAGAGTATAGTGACCTAGAAATTAACATTCAGTGAATAATTTGCCACACTACTGTCAAGTATCGGTAAAATAAAGACTTTATGAGTGCTTGCATTCGTGACCTTCGATAGTTTGGCAAACTTATTGACTGAACGATTACGCCATAGCATGTGTGAGCGCGAAGATGCGAGGCGCGGCCACTCCGCGGTGAGAAGCGGCGCGCGCGCTCGTGTGTCGCGTGTCTCAGTACTCGAAACTTACAGACACGTTTGTTCCCAGAGCACGACAAAGATTACATCAAGCGGCCCCTGGATTTTGACGTCGAAGAAGAAACGCGCAAGAAAGAAACCTCCAAATGGCTCGAAAGTCACTTCGGCAGTGATTCCCGCTCATCACACGACTCCATTGCAGAAGAAATAGGACGTCGACCGGAAACCACCTTCTATGTCAAAAACAAAACTGCCGAGGACGAGGGATATTACGGAAAGACTTCATCTTCCGTTCCACCGCCACCCGTTTATGGAGATAGGGTGCTTCGCAAGACAAAATCTGCTTCGACCCCAACTGACGAACGACCGCCACCTCCTGTTAACAAAACAGGAGGGTACTTTAAAGGAGTGGCGGACTGGTCACAGAGGCGTGCTAGTAAACCGAAGATGCCTGAACCACGTAGCTCATCACCTTCGCCCCCAGCGGCACACTCCCCGTACGCCAGCAACGACCGCTTGAACGGATCCTTGCCCAGACACGTTTACGGGAAGCGTGACTCGCCTCAGGGAAGGTCATCGCCAATCGGTCGTCGTCATCCGCCCTCGCGCGACGACTCCGCCTACGTCTCTTCGTCTACAATGCATAGTCCGCCACGCGGATCTCCATTTCGGCCGCTAGAAACCGACCGCTCCTTCCGTGAGCCTTCGATCGAAGACGACTACAGGCCCGTAGCCCCCGAACGCAAACGACACTTGAAGCAACGTCAATCAGAAGAACACCGTTATGACAGTGGCTATAGGAGTTCCTCTCGAAATGAGAATTCGGGTCGTTCCCGTGATAGCCATGAAGAAGGAGCTACTGAACCTCCTCCAGATTACTCTCCGCCGAGGGAACGTCGGGGCAGTTCGGACAGAGACCGCACTCCGCCTCGTCGTCGAGACCGTGATGAACGTAAACAAAATCAAAAGACACGTTTCGCTGATAATAGTCGGCGTCCTTCACCTGCTCGCAAGTCGATGGGCACTGCAATCGGGAACTCGATAAGGAAGTTAGTGGGCAAGATTCGCTCGGCGTCGGCAGAGCGGAGGGCGCGGTGGCGCAACTCGCGGTCGCCGTCACCGGCGGAGCACTCGTCGCGCACGTACAAGCAATACAGCGGCGAGATCGCGCCCCCCAACGCGCCACCGCACCGCTACTACCTCGGAGAGGACCCTTTCGCGCCCAGCATCTACGGTCGCGAGCACAAGTACGAGGGCAGTTCGAGACGCGCCGCCGCTGCCGACGCCCGCGATCACCGTGACCGGTAAGTGGCACCCCCACATATTATTTGTTTTCAATATCTGTAACAAAGAATGCAAATAAGTATCACACTGACTTATTTAACTCACGTTAACAAAAAATATGAGGCTTATTTTGATCGATGACCAGTAGTATTTTATGATTAACCACACTAGCTTAAAACATAGTGAGACAAAACGTAGTACATTAAATTAATAACGTAATTGTGCCTTATACAGAGTGTTGTCCTACAACTGATCCATGACACCGCCTACATAAGAAACATGGAGCATAAAATATAATTAATGTTTGTTGTTTTTGGAATTATCATAAAGTTACGTGGAGTTTATCGGACATGAGAGATTGCATATAAGGATTGCTAATGGGACGATAATGGCGCTTTGAACAAACTTAAAATCTACTTAATTGCTAAAATAAACAAATCTGTGGATCTACTGCTTACATTTTAATCAATCTTGGCAAACAGTATTATAATGAAAGATATGTAAAATTAAACATCTAATACCTATTCTTAGTTCGTACTCGATGTAATGACAATCTTACATATGTAGTTAATGAATAACTTTCCGTTCCAACTGTAGCTAGATCGCAAAATCATTATCAATAATTGTTTCGAACAATCGCCTTTAATAATAAATCGCAGTATTTGAGGTCAACTGGAAAAATGACCATTAATTGATACCTACTTACCTTACTCCATGTTGAATATAAAGCTATAATACTTCATTAAGAGTTTCACGATTATTTTATATACGACGTATTTTATTTTCACGACGTCATTGAATAGCGAAAAATGTTGCGGCCAAATCTTAGCATAAAAATAGACCTAAGGAGGCACAGTTCCTATTAAGTCGTTTAGTTGTTCGTGTTAAGATATATTATGTGCAGATTACTAGTAAGGAAATTAAAAGCTTTTAAAATGTATGGAAAATGTTTTAGTGATTTAAAAAAAAATTGCTCAAATTGAGATCATTTGGGTTGTAAATTACGATTATGTGTGTGTAATTTTGAAGGTATATATGTAATTTAAGGAGACTCTGTCAAAACATTATTTTTAATATTTTATAGATGTAGCTTACTATTGATTTTGATTAGTTAATATCCGAAATTAGACAAAATTTACCTACGAACTTTTTTTTATGAGACCAAGTAGTGGGATGAACAAGTCGTGCACTTGGTGTTAAGCGACACGCCTGTCTATAACAGTTGCAGTGCCGCTTTGAGCTTTAAATCGCAAAAATATTTGGGGCACTGCCACCCCGTCACCCTGAGACATGAGTTGAAAATTCCCATGTGCCTGTAATTTCACAAGAACTCTTACCATTCAAAATCTAAACGCAATTACGCTCATATTTACATCTTGGGGCCAGAAATAGATAAGATGTGAGTACTTTCCTGGACGAATTCTTTCGCAAGGAGCTCCACTTTTAGTTAAAGAAAGAACGAAAGAAAGACAACTGTTTATTACACAAGCACAGACACACATATAAACAAAACAACAGAGGAATAATAATAATAATAATAATAATTATAATAATAACAATTCAACATTAATCTTTTAGGCCGTCGGAGAAGCGAGAGTCTAAAATAAATAATGACATAATAATAAAAGAATTAAAGAAAAGAAAAATTAAAACAATTGACAATGCAGTACCTAATTCACCGTTATGCGTGTCGCGCTTGGTGCAATCGGGACTTGCTCAGCTTTAGCCACAAAAGGCTTTTTAAAAACGTTTCGTGGCGCTGATTTTCAGCAAGCCCGGGCGAATGAGTCAGTGACAACAATAAATAAACAGTTACGAACTTACGTTGTTATTATGTGTGGGCACATATTAAAAATTGTAACAAGCAATTTAATTTGAAATACTTATATTACTATTATTCATGTCAAAAGTTAGTACTGGCGCAACAAATTCTCTATCATCGTCAGCCATACGTTTAGGTATATTGATAATAAGGTACAGTATGTAACTGTGTGGTCATGCGTAAAGTCCTTTTCAGCATTCATTTGTGTATGCAACTCGGTCAGTAAGTTGCAAAACAAAGAAATCCTATGAAAGGCACATTTGAAAGTGTGCAAATTCCCTATTTAGTCGACTTCGAGTTATTTTGACGAGAACCGCTTTAAGTAGACGCTCTATAATTGTACATTTAGTTATTTATTAGTGGAGTCCTTTTAGAGATTTTTATTGCATTTTATGGATCAGACTCTCTAAATTTTGTTTTGTTTTAATATATTCTTGAATAGATAATCATTTATGGAAAAAAATTAAGTTAAAAAAGATATTTTGCTAAAAGATAAAGGGAAGTTCAAATACTAATCTCGCCGAAAAGTTTTAAAAGGAATGCAAGATATTTTTTTTTACATTTGAAAGACATCGGAACTTAGTTTGAAGTAACAGAGATCATCGATACACAGATTTTTCAAGGAATATTTATTTTTATTAGAGATAGGCTCACGTTTGTCCTCAATTCACTGTGATTAACAGATCATTTTATTAGAATAATAAATAACTTTATGGTACCGTTCAATTAAGTTGTTATCTTTACTTTAATTTGCTATATGCAACATTTAATGTGCAAAAAAAATGTTTCATTTATTCATCCTAATATTATTTTGTTCTACAGTCGGATTATTTATAAATGTAACAAGTGTCCTTTTGGATTCGATCAATCCGTTCACTTCAATCGGCTCCGCGTAATACGTTCCGGCATATCTTGCCTTTTTGATCTCTCGTTGTCCATGGTCTACCTATTAAGGGTAAATATCGTTTTTACTGCAAACCTGCCCGTATTTAGCTCTCTGAGTCACAGTTTGTCAAGAGAAACGGTCGGATTTTACAAGAATTGCGTATCGGCAATGACAAGAGACAAATGACTCATTGCAAGGAAATTCAGCCAGCAGGTGTATGTTTAGGTGTTGATCGATCAATGCAAATCAGTCTGATACATATTATATTTGCAAATTGCTACATTGTATGTGTGTAACAATTACGACGTATACCTACTTGCGTGTTGAATTTTTTATACTTTGTATTGTTTCTAATCTCGTCTGAGAGTATTTACAAGGCATCAAAGACAGGATCTTTAATTTTTGGGCATTTTAATAAAAGGGCCGCTCAAAATTAGTAGCCAATTAGTAGTATTTATGTATTTATTTATTAATTACCTGATTCAGACAAAGACGCAGTTGCCGACTTAATGAGGCGTTGCCGTTCTCTAATGCCATGTAAACAAAGCATGGTCGTTAGGCATGTGGGAGGAGATCCTCCATTTAATCCAATTACTAGCATACAAGATTAAAAGTTTTTGTGACACACAATAAGATAAAAATAAATATACACGAGTCATACAATAAAAAATTTATCACGTACTTTGTCTTTATTTCAGGGGTCAGTTCTCAAGCACACTCGGTCGGTTCAGTCACTCGACAAGTCGATTGAATCCGAACAGTGAACCCGAAGAGGACTACACACGTAGCGCGCAGACACTGCCGAGAAAATTACACGACCGGAAGGAAAAACCCACCGAAAAACCAAGCTCCAACAAATACTGGCATCGCCTTACACCGAGCAAACGATCCACCAGCGCTAATAACATCTCTACCCACGTTTCAACCTCTCCTGAAGGGAACGTAAACGGCTACCCGCCTGGACCAGCCAAGCCGGCGCGGACATACAAAGCTCTGAACAGGAGCAAAAGTTTTGCTATGGGAGCTCCTGAACAGGAGACACAGCCACGCTACATTTCCGGTATGAGCCGTCATTACTCCACCATGTATAAATCTAACCCCCACTTGAGTCGCTTGGATGAAACACCAGAACAATTGAAGAGTCCGGGTATTGTGTCGATCATAAACCGTAGTCAAAGAGATCTTGCTGATGCTGTCTCACGAGAGACCGAACGCAGACGTGATGGACTATTTGGTGCAAGGTATGGCAAAACTACATCGCTGAGTAACGGCCATACAAACGGATATAATAAGTCATTTGATGACACAGATAAGAAGAAATTATTTCTTAAGGGACTGCGTGAACGTGCACCGGATCTGTATAACACTCTACATGCTGACGATGAATCTGACGGTAGTAGATTATCTTCTCGTTACGGCACACCGTCACCGCTCTACAAAGAAAGAATATCTGAGGAGCGTAAAATTCCGTTGTATAAAACTGATTCTTTGAACAGAGAAACGAGCCCATTTGTGTCACGTTTGGAGCCAAGGCTTAAGTCACCCGCCATTCGCCGTGGAAGCAACAGTAGCGATAATTATTCTGAAACATTCAGATATACGACACGGTCAGGTGATCCAGAGCGGCCCAGTGTAACTGACACCGTTGAAACTGTAAGTAAGAAAGTCCTACCAACTAGAGACGGTCGTGGTAAAGAAATAATTGAATCAAGAGAAGTTAACTCAGTGACAAAAAGTAGGGGTGGTTACAAAGAACCATTGACAAGTGCCAAATATTTCGATAACGGAATACGCGCGACACCTCTCGGTTACGAATCAAGAAATGGTTACACAGAACGAAGAAGTAGTAACTATAAAGTAATGGAAAAAATTAGAGATTATTGATTAACTGTCAAAAGAAAAAAACATAATTAATCTGCCATATTTTTCGAGTATATTTCATGAATCGAAGAGTCAACCGCAGACTGAACCTTTTTAAACGCTTTAGATATTAAGTTATCTAATTATATTCACATATTATAATAATCTATTTTTGTAAGCAGCTTCGTGTTCTCATGTAAAAAGTCATACTTATAGCTTTACTAAATATTAATAAATTAATAATTGTGATTTAAATCCGTCCAATATAATAAATTCTAAACTGTCCATTGATGTATCTAATATTGTTGATACTTATTATTTGTGAATAGACTTACATTTCGATAACAACATTTTATTGATATACGTAGGTTAAGAAATAATTTCATTAAATTGTATTTTTAATAAAATGTATCAATAAAATAAATATAATTGTGTTAATATGCACTAAATGATTTAGTTTTATTTGAGGTACCTGTTGTAAATTGAATTTGTGCTGAACCAACTGCTCTTTTTGTATAAGACCGTTAACGTATGTATATTGATGAACTTAGTGGAAACTGCTTATAACCAAAGCTCGAAATTATCAATATGTCTGATAATTATCAAGATTATTAACTGATGTCATTAAATGGCTCAAGTAAAATTCTGATTCACAGTTTAGTCTCTTTTGTAATTATAACTAATTTTTGACTACAAATGACTAACACTGAGAATTAATGATTAAACGAACTTACCTGTACGTGAAGTTCGATCATAATTATACAAAGGTATTAGTCCGAAGAGATTAGCATAGTACTTGTAGTATCGCATACGTACGGCCACTTTTACACGTTAGTTGAGGGCAGATAAATAAAAACCACCACTCTCTCCTTCGCCGGCGAGAGCCAGTGTTCGCGTGCCTGTTCTCATTTAGTTCCAGGATTGACATTTCACGACACATAGGGTGATCTGCGGGAGGATGGGCTGCTAATCGAACTTCACGTACAGGTAAGTTCGTTTAATCATTAATTATACTCGTATTCTTCCTTTGCGATTAGCATAGTACTTATAGATTTTGAGAGATTAGTCGTGAAATGATTTACTAACGATACACTTTTTTAGGAGTTTCATTTAGATATATTTATTCAAAGAACTGTGTTCTTAGCAAAAAAATCATGGTCTTTTAGTTATAATGCATGTACCTAGTATTTACAAACAATTATCAGTAGTGAACTTGTAAATAAATTATTAGTGACAATTTCTCAAAATACTTGTTGCAAAATAATCACATTGAGTAGGTATCTAAAACCGCTTTATGATAGAATTTACCGATGTGTTCGACGAACCCGACCACCCAGCTGTCCTTCTAATAACTAATCTAGATTAACGCCTAGACTAAGTGCCATAGATGTGGCATGTCGAGTACTGTGTGCTGAAAATAGAAACACATCAATGTCGCTAGAATGTAGTGTCCTTAACCCAGGGGCCTAAAGTCTGGTAACAGGCCTATAAGGACGCCTAAGACGCCTAATTTTCATCATCTTTTAAATTTAGAAATTAACACCATTCAAAATTTTTTGTATATAACCAGCCGTATTCAATAGCAGGACACGCAGAAATAATTAAACCAACGAATCTAGCAGTGCCTTATTTTACAAATTTTTAACTTGGAAAATTTATTGAGTTCAGATTTAATTTTAATTTCAGAGTAGCTTTACTTGAAAATTTTTAGAGTCTATGATATAGCCCAAGAATGTACAAGACAGAAGGCACCATAACACTTTTTTCTTCGTTGATAACAAAGACAATAGAAGCTTTTCAGTATGAAACAAGTTATTTAAACATTTTTCTCGAGACCTGCCTAATAAAAAGACATCATCGAGATACCCGGTGGAAAGGAAGCCTGCTAACCCGAGTAATTTTATATCGGATTTCATAATTTTTATAAATACAAAAGGTGCAGTATTTAAGCCAAAAGGCAACACATTAAACTCCAAAATTTTATGTTTCCAGTAAAAACGTAAAAATTTTTTTGGGTCCTGGTGTATTGGAACTAAAAAGTAAGCATCTTTGAAATCGATTTTTAAAAATATTTGAAAAAATTGAGTTTCTACTGTGTCGCATTGTGAAATAGCTCCTTTACACAGAAGATCGTCAATAGCCTCTCGAATATGTTTTTTGTCCGAAGAAGAATGATTATCGTTTTTCGGAATATCACCTTGAATTACGGATGAGCTTACAGGGATTTTATAACCTTCGATCTTAACATTGTAGGGTCGTTGGTTATTTGAGACCACTGAAGTATAAAGGTTGATAATCTACCTGTATATTGTACCTCGTTTAGCGATGGCTGCGCTTGAATGTCGGCCGAGAGCTCTTCGATGAGCTGACGGGCTGATTCTTGGAAGCAGGTAGGAGAGGTCTCGCGCTCCCTGTCGACCAGTGGCTCGAGGGAACACTCTTCGACTTTAAATTACTTTCACTGAAAGTTGTTTTATTAGTAATCGACTTCCAGGTGTTCTGTTTCGTATAGCTTGGAGTTTGCTTTAGCACTGCACCTGTTTTTGTTATATCTTTCGCAGATTTAAGCGTTTCGGCAAGGTTCTTAGCAAATAAATGAGAATCAATTTTTGCAAGTAGTAATTGATCTTTCATTCATTTTTTCAGTGAGGAAAGGATCAAGAACCTTCTTGTTAAAGAGTCACTATATTGAGTGTCACAAATAATTCGACCTGCATCCATCAATACTTTTAATAAATTAGGATCTTTATTGTTCTGGGAAATTAATACGGTAATTGGCGGTAATTCACCTAGACATGCAATTGCACTAGTTACTTGTTTTTGTTTCTGCCCCATGCCGCCAAGTCTTTCTAATGTTGTTTCTGATATAGCCGCTTTGACTTCAGGATTTATCTGCGGAGCATCAATTAATAAGCAGTTAGCCGAAACCAGATATTTTTCTCGTAATTCCTTCCGAGTTTCTTTGCTGAGTCCATTTGTGGCTATATGATCGAATCTTACAGCAAGTTCTTTTTGAATGTTTTTGCCGAGTGTTTTCGGTACAGAAGGGTCTTCTCCAAGGATATCTAATATATATACACTGCTCAGCTCTGATCCTACCAAGGGATCAACATTCGAAAGCAAGGCGAACGGTTCGTTAGTAGGATCTATAAGATCAATTACCTCGTTTGAGATAATAGGCTCTGCTGTTGTAGACGCAAGGTGCTGTGTCTAGAGACAAGTCGTCGCTGCGGGAGTTTGAGTTGATGGGGCAGCGTGAATTTGCACTTGAGCAACCACGGTGCTCGATTGCCTCGATATATTATGGCAATACCAACCACTTTCATCACTAGCAATGGCGCCTGCAAATAACGCAGACAGAAAATAATCAGCGCAAAGGCTATAAAAAAATACCACGTGTCTTCAAAATGAATAAGTTTGTTTATGATGCGCGGCCACGCATTGCTAAATTATAATTTATATTGTGTGCGTAAACACACTTCCATATTGAATTGGTAATTTTCATAGTTAAATTACCGAAAAAAAAGTATTATACAACTGCGAAAAAACATAAGTATTATGCGCGATCACGCATTGCAATTGCCAAAATATTTATCGCGTTGTTGAATGTACCTTCCGGTATAGGCGAAGCGGAGCAAAGCGAGCGATCACGTAGTTGGCGCAGTTCTCTACGACGCGAGGACGGCGCAGGCGATGCACATGACGATGATCTTGATAAATCCGAGGACCTTGATGATATAACTCGTACACGACGGAAACGGTTTCGTTCCAATTTTCTTAATTTTCTCTTTAGTTCACTGATTTCAAGAACATCACTCTTACATTTTCTATCAGACATTGTTTTTTATAGGAAGTATATATATTACGATATTATATGAGAGCGGAGAACGTGCGAAGTAGCCTGAGCACGAAAACACGAATGAGAACAGGCAAGCGAACAGCGCGCCACGGGCTCTCGCCGACGGAGGAGAGAGCGGTGGATTTTATTTTTCTACCCACACTACCAAAAAAAGCGGCCGTACGTATGCGATACTACAAGTATAACGCTAATCTCAAAGGACGAATACGAGTATAATTCTAAATAAACACCAAGAAGTCTTTGGGAAAACGATTTGGTTCGTGACTTTTTTGAAATTCACATTTCACACGTTTAGATACTAGTCTCTGACCAAACACATAGCTCCATATTGCTAGCGGTAGGATTTTGTTGTTCTAATGAATTTTATAAATATCAAGAAAATGTATCAAGTTATATTTGTTAAGATAATTGTCATGATAATTATCATTTCGAACTTTGCTTATAACCACTACTTATATAAATTTTAATTTGTCAGATAAACCTTTTTAAACCTCTCAAGAACATGTCTTGCTGTTAACCCCTAATTTCTATAATATTTATTTAAATATGAAACAAAATAAAATAATAAAACGGGGGATAGAAGAAGAATTACGTCGTGATAAAACCGTTAAACGTCGTCGTGTGCGTGTTTTATAGTTCATCGGAATGACGTGGTTAATACAAAAAAAATATTTTTTGTATCCAAACATAGGTTAATTACGATTCAACACTGAATCTGGTTATATTGCAATATGGTATTGCGGGCAGTTTTTGGGACTGTTACTTACCAAAAATATGGAGTCGGGGGTAGCTACCAGGGCTACTTCTTCACCATTAATGATCGCTAAACAAGTCGTTCAAGCAATATCTCCTTTAAAAACGAGTTTTACAGACAGTTTGAGGTACTGTTTCTTAACTCGCTCGCTACCTATGATGTTTGGAGGTCGTTAATACGAGCTTAGACTGTGATGGGGCCGCCTCACTAACAACTGAGGCAACGACCCTTACAACGACAAGCGAGCACGCAAATATTTTCGCCTGCTGCCGAGTGCCGCGCTGACACGGCGCGGCCAAAGTGCCCGCCGATATGGAGCTGTTTGTCGTCGGCGACGAAAGCGCCGTCATCAAATTGTACGAGAACGACACAAGGTAATAATTGATCTGTATTTTGTACCGAACAACTGTAAGCTCTTCGGCGCCCCAGTTTTGAGCCCAGAACTTAGAGATGTCCTCACAGTACAAAATAATCAAAGAGACATAAGGCCATTGAAAC